TGGAGGATTTCTCCAGTGCTGTCCCGCGAACGCGAGGTCTGACTTTCCCGGAGAAGTGTCACCTCTCTCGGCGTCTGTTCTGTGCAGCGAGCGACAGAGAAGCACCGCAGCCGACTCCTCAATAAATGAATACAGCGTTTCCAAGCACCTGTCGCTTACTGATTGTTAGGAATTATAAATATGAGCGTAGTTCGTCTGTTAATATCACATGCACTTTTTTGTTTGTTGTTGTTTTGTTTAGTTTGTTACTCAGACGCAGGCAGTGCTCTGCATGAGACACAAAAGTAATATAGCCACAACAACCGCTCTTTAGAGTAGATGCATGCTGATTTTATCAGACGATGCTGTGATTATAAATGAGTGACTCCTGGTTAACATGTATTAAAAGGGGGTCGTGTTTAGTCACTATTTAGTGTGCTATTGTTTGACAATATTCACTCTGACAGTAAAATAGGGCATTCTCAGTCAATATACTGCAGTATTTCTCTCGCAGTCAGTAGAAGATATGGTTAACACCCGCTCACACATGAAAAAAAATACCGTATTGTACCGTGAAACCGCTATAATCTTGGAAAATACCGTGATATAAATTTTTGGTCATACCGCCCAGCTCTAGCTTTTTTTTTCAATTATGTAATAAATAAAAACAGATAGAATAGAAAAGAATAGAGCAAGCTAATGTTAGAGGCCTTTTTTGAAAAGAAATAAAAAGAAAACAAATAGATGGAATACAAAAAAATTAGAAAAGCTTAAAAAAAAGAAAACAAGTAGTAAATGAAAACTTTTATTTTTATTTTGTATAAAGAATAGAATTAGAATAGAGAGTGCTTGAGTTAGAGGGTCAAATAAAGATGGAAGAGATGTGTTTTAGCCGATTCTTGAAGATTCGGGTCGTTCCACCAGGAGGGAACATTTCATTTAAAAGTCTGTGAAAGTGATTTTGTGAATTTTTATTTTTTTGCCTTAGTCAAAATGTAATAAACATAAAACATCAACTGACATCAACAAGCCTCTCATTTTTCAACTTCCGGGCAAAATCACAAATCTAATATAATTTAATGTATACCACTGAATGTCAGAAACTCGGTGGTCTTCGTGTCAAAGAAATTAATGAGAGAAATGTGTTATCATTGTAGAGTAAAATGTACTTCATAGAATAATAATAATACATGTATTGAATTCAATTATTTTTATTACATTTTAATTATAGGCTTAAATCAGAACTTCCTACCCCCACAAAAAAAGAAAAGAAAAGAAAAACATTAAAATGGAAAACACTAAATTTGGACAAAAATAAACCCGGTTGGTCAATGCTCAACTACACTCTCCTCAGATCAAGTCGCCATTGCCACTAGTTGTCAGATTATATAATATTAGCATCATTTTATTACTCTGTCAACCATTATTTTAGTATTTAAGTGCAAATGGACAATGATTCTAAAACAACAGAGAACCTCTTCCTCCTGTAGCTTTGAAAATATTGCGTATATCTGTGTATGATTGGATCATGTAGACATTTGGACTATGTTGAGTGGATTTATATGTTTACACTTTATGGTGTGGTGTCTGTGGTTTATGCTTTCCTTTTGTAGGCTATCACCTCATCGATTGGATAAACTTCATTAACCCCCAAAGGGAGATTTACATGTCACAGCAGCACATGCCACACAATAATCAATAATACATTAATAAATACAAATGCAGAAAGACATTCACAAGAACTTGTCTTTCCCAGTATCAGTTTCACAAAGCATTATGATTATATACAACAAAATGATTCTATTCTAACATCATGTATAACACTGATTGTACAATCTATTGTAGATAGTATTGTCAGACCAATCACGCTTGCTGTTCAAATATACACCCAAGTACTTCTATGTTGTTAAAATCTCACAGTGTGTTTTTACTGATGCCACTTGCTGAGGAGATCTACTATAAATCAACCACAGTCTCCTTAGTCTTACTTGCACTTAGCCTAAGATAGTTTTATCTCACACCAGTCCACAAAACTGCATCCTCACATGTGGTATATAGAGAGGTGGTTAGTTAACCAGTTGACCATACTCTGATGTACTCCAGCATTTTTCATCTTACTTCTAAGTAGTGTAGGCTGGATAGTATTAAATGCACTATAGAAATTAAAGATTGTTACCCGGAGTGACTTTGTGTAAGAGAGAAATAATTGCATCATCTGCCCCAACAGCAGTTTTATAAGCAAACTGTAGTTTATCGTCAGCAGAAAACATGACCTGCTTTATATTGTTAAATACTGGCAATCTTTCAAAAACCTTCATCAACAGCTGTGCTGTCTATAGTGTGAGAACTCTTACACTTCTAGTAAACCTGACCAACTAGAATGGTGGGTTGTGCTTGCAGAGAGCTTTGTTGATTACGATGTTGGCGGTCTGGTTTTGTACATTGTGCTGATCTCATGTGTAGATGGGTTGGTTGTGGATGGACTGGCCAGTCATCAGCACTGAGCTGGATTGCAGAGGGCTTTGTGGATCTCTGCTGCCCTCTGCTGCAGATATGGTGTATCATACAGCACCACTTAATAATTTGGAACCTAAATATTACCGGAAATGCCTGGGATGTTGAAATTAAATTTGAGAGAATGAAAATTGTGAATGAAAAACTATGTACGTACACCACACATCACATATCTATATATATACAGCTGCAGCTCAAAATTTTTTTTCATTTTTTTTAATTATTTCAAAAAGTGAAACTTTCATATATTCTAGATTCATTACATGTAAAGTAAAATATTTCAAATGTTTTTTTGTTTTAATTTAGGTGATTAGAGCTTACAGCTCATGAAAGTCAAAAATCCAGTATCTCAAAATATTAGAACATTTCCTAAGATCAATCAAAAAAAGGATTTGCAAAACAGAAAAGCTCAAGTTCTTTAAAGTATGTTCGTTTATGCACTCAATACTTGGTCGGGGTTCCAGCATTAGTGAGGTGTGGCAAAGAAGCGATCAGCCTGTGGCTCTGCTGAGGCACTATTGAGCCTTGGTGATTAGAGCTTACAGCTCATGAAAGTCAAAAATCCAGTATCTCAAAATATTAGAACATTTCCTAAGATCAATCAAAAAAAGGATTTGCAAAACAGAAAAGCTCAAGTTCTTTAAAGTATGTTCGTTTATGCACTCAATACTTGGTCGGGGTTCCAGCATTAGTGAGGTGTGGCAAAGAAGCGATCAGCCTGTGGCTCTGCTGAGGCACTATTGAGCCTTCAGCTCGTCTGAATGGTTGGATCGACTGTTTCTCATCTCATCAGCTTCAGGTCAGGCATGTTGGCTGGCCAATCAAGCACAGTAATATCATGGTCAGCAA